CTCAAACCGCATTTGTGGCGTGGATATGTCGAAACTTCAAGGACTCCTGATCGCTGCCTTGCTTACGAAGATGCTGATACTAGCAGTACCGCTTATCACCGAGTAAACGACTCCCACAGAGGTCGTGTTTCCATCTGCATCGTGTGGGGAGAAGGTGTTTTGAGACGTGTCGACGGAGCTTTGATAGTCGAGGGATTCACGAGCGGACTCCTTCAACCACGGTCCTCATATTGTAAAAACTCCGTTCATAAACACTGAAATAATCGTGAATTTCTCGCCCTCGGGTTTGGAGGAAATCAACATCAAAGCAAATGAAATGAAGAGGGGTCCGACTTGGCCCCCAGCTCACGTCATGCTCAGCCACCTTTGGTTTCGTTCCAGTACACGATCTTGCTTCGTCTTTACTACTACCTACGCGAGGTGCGGCAAAGGGACCTTGAGCCCAAAGAGGTCCTTACTCTGAACGATGACTAAAATGTCTGCAAATTCACCCCAAAACATTGGAGAACTCATACTACCTGTGAAGTCCCGGACATTGTCTTTCTCCTTGTACCAACTCAACAGAGCCAATAATTATTATTCTTCACACACTACTCCCATTCAACACATCCCTTCCCCGATCTCCCCCCTCCATTCACCATTCAAGATTCACGTCTCCGCCCACGCCCACCGGCCCGCCATGCGGTATACAGCGAACGCTGCACCAACCCGCTAGTAGAATAGCAAAAACCGAGCGTTAGGAATCCATCTGATATTCTTCCGCTCCCGTTTGAGTTTTCCATATTGTCGAACTGCCTGCCTACTTAACGAATTAGGCACTTTTGTCAGACACCACTCCAGTTTCCCCAATATACTCAGAACTCTACATATGTTCAGTTCAGTCGTATCATTCAAACAAATTTAACTACAAAAGTAATTTTAGGAACAGGTCTTGATATCAAAACCGACCCGTCCTGAATCTAGTCGAGTATGTACTATTTGCTGCCTCGGTTGATCTGTAGACCAGGAAGATTAGAGCGGTCACCGAGTATCCCACAAACTCACTTTGGAGCTCGGCATTTCCCGTATGGTGGTGTACTAGGATTGGGGACATCCCCGCCTCGAGAGCGGAACACGTTTAATTGACATGAGGGCGTCATGAATCATGATGGTAACATCAAGTCCATACAGCACGACGAGTCCGACCTCGAAATTGGGATGACGGGGATGACCAATGACCATGACCAGAGATGACCTTGCGATGACCAATGAACCTGATGGACAAAGCTAACCCAAAAACAGGCTGCGAGTTCACTTCCATTGTGGGGGAATAGAGGATTGATGCTCAGCTGGGATCATCGCCGAAAGCACCGAAGATCACAGTCTAGATGCTAACCACTCAATTGTTGCGTGTCACGGTGTCTCTGGGCAAGCGGCCGATGCTAAGTAGTATTATTGAGGAGGACTGAGGATAGGAATACTACATACCGACGGGGAACCTTGAACCAAACTTACTTTCCTCCCTTTCCACGTTGCCTCATTGAAGAGATTCCAATGTTAGATGCCGTTGGTCGGAGGTGCGACGAAGCCGTTGGTTATCAAGCAACCAAGAAGCAGAACTGACGCGGTCCTTGGTGTATGGCGGGTTTCAACTATACAGTGACGATCAACAGTGATCTCCCGAGATACGAGGGGGTTACTTATCCGTCGTTTATCGTCCGCGACAGACAAAACAGCGAGACGCGCAATTCGGCGACGGGCGTCGTCGTTGACATGGACTGATTGATGCATTTTCCGGCACGGCGGGCTCCGGGGTCTTGTTTGTTTTTCCTTTTGCTGTTTTGGAACGTGAATTGAGTGTGTAGGCTTTGTGAGTGGGACACTGAATTAGCGGATTTCAGCGCGGATGGGCGTATCAAGTCGAAGTACTTCTGGCACGAGCGTTGGGCGTTGAGCGCGAGTCACGCCAGGTCATCTCCCAGGGCGTTAGTGTCGTATCTTGCCGCGTCATACCCTATCGCAACACACGAGAAACGGGATGGCATACGGTCATTGGCATTCGACCGCCTACCGCGAAGTATTATGTCGACGGAAGGGGTGCCACTGTTGCAGTAGAAACAGCGGAAAGTCTTGAGGAAAGTCCCTGCGGTGTTCAGATCTCAGCGTCGCCACGGATCCAGGTGAGAAGAACCCACAGAGAACCAGAGGAACATACCGAACAAGTCCAGCTCTGTGCATCGCCAAGATCTGGCTTCATTCTCTCATTTTTTCTTTCAGCTCCAGAATCCACGGGAATAGGCATGGCCTTCCATATCCACATGCTAGCGTCACGCTCTCGGTGTTTGTTAACCTGCCATCCACGCCCCGCAGACGCCCTCATTGATGTAGCCTGTCTTTTCTGGGAACAAAGCAAATGGAGGGGGGTATCGAGGAGTGATTCCTGCCGATGCCGTTGGAGATACCCAGAAGCTAGGACTGGAAGGGTCGCGGGACAAACGAGAGTCAAGTCTCGTGCATCCATACGGACACACATTCTCCAGAATCACTATCACTGTCACTGTCACTATCACACGTTGACTGCGGAATACGCACCTCGAGGCCGAATGGCGAGGAAATCCCCCGTCGGTAGGTAGACGAGAAGCAAGGTTAATTTGACTTGCGATGGATTGGAAGTTTAGATATGAACGTGGTAAGTATCGACTCCAGCTCTGGAAAGTGTAAGAGACGTCCGACCTGGGGCTTAATGCGACCCACTTACTTTTCAGTCATCCAAAGATAGACTGCTCAGACGCGAACGCGTCGTTCGCGTCTGGACCACAAGTACCGAGCGATGCCAATGTTATCGATCCACATGTTTAATATGCGAACGCCGGAGTCTTGGAGTCCGAGACGACGCGAGTTCGGGGCTCATGGGGCTCGGGGGAAATATTCGGTAAAGCGAGCTGAAAACACAAGGTGATAGGCATATGTACACCGCTAGAAAGTGACCCGCTGGAGGGTATATGATAGTATAAAAAGATCTCGCCTGAGGTTTCGCGTCTAGCCGTCCATTTTGATTTGTTCAAATGAGTTGGGTCCAGGGTATTGGGCGTTGCCTTGAAGAATAGGGCGACATCCGAGCAGCCTAAAGCCTTGAGGTAAAAGACATTAGCAAGCCATCAGATTGGTCGAATACTTTCACCCTCTTTCACCCTATCAAGACTCCCAAACAATTTCAAGAAGAAAGCAATGAAAGAAGTATGAGTCTCCGGGCGTTACGGGTATCCAGAGCCCAGCCCAGTCCTCATCTAGTGTAGAGCATCGAGATTCGGAGATAGGAGACCGCGTGTAGGGTCAATAGTTGCCCTGGTTCGGGAAGGAAGATCTGTGCCCCAACTTTTGAGATCTTAAACCGAAATGAGCAAGTCAAACTTTTGTTTGGCGCAGAGCGATCGTCGATTGCAAGACTTAGAAAACCTACCTGAAATCGAGGGGCATGGGCAACTGTGAATATTTGGAGAAGAAGAAGATGTGAAACTGCTCTAACAAGAGGTATGAATGGCTAGACTGAGGACAGTCGCGACAATCGATGACTGACTAATTGTTCGTGGTTGAGTATTTCCACTAGAGTCGAGCATTCAACCATAATCGAAGACCCCCAGGCTCCAGCCTGCTCCAGCTTCATCCATTACCGGCCACCCCTCGCGGCTGGAAGAATGGATCTTCCAGTGACCGCGATGTTCTAGGCGACACATGAGTCGGAGTGTTCTTACAACGGGGGTATAAAGGTTTCTAGCGGAAGTCCGCTGCCACCCGGGTGACAAGGGATGCCCATAATTGTGCATGAGCATGCAGTGCTGCCTCCCAGTGGCAAAAAGCCTCAAGAGTGAGACCTCAGCTCCAAAAGCCTGCGCAGTCCAATTGTGATTGTTGAGAGCATAGGTTGAACTGTTGACATGACACGTTGTTTGTCAAGTGTGGCGGGCCGCCAGGAAGCGTTGAATGGCCCATTACAGGATCGTGCCAGCCTTCAAGGCATCACTTGGAGGGCATATAACGAAAGCCAGCCGCTAATGTAGGGATGATCTTCGTTCTTCATGTCCCCGAAAAGCTGCCCGAGTTTTTCTCGTAAGTCCCTATGGTCAAAGCAGAGCTTCGTTAGGGACTGGGTTTGGGGGTACATGCAGAAGACACTGGAACCCGGCCAGACGGTCAGAATTTCTGAGAGGAATTCAAACGAAGGCTGGTCGTATGAGGTCTCCGCCGTGACCCGTCTTGGGCTTGGTCCATGACCCAAGTCTCCGTTCAGACATAATCCCAGTCTCCTGCCCTGCGTCTATAGACTTTCCGTGTCATTCAGACGGCGTCAGGTGTGATTGGCCGGCAAAAACTTTAAGTGCATGGACTCACACTGACAGTCGCCATCGAGTTCCTCCGGCCTTGGCAAGGCGCCCTTCTCGACCCTGATTGTTTTGCACCCTCGCAACGACGGTCCGAGCGCATCCGTCTGAGAATTCTGAATCCAGACTCTATTTCTTCACGTTCCAATCTCTCCCAATCCAGCTTCATGCTAAGGAGGCTTCAGGAGGCTACTTTCTCAACTTGTCCCAACTTTGACGCCACGAATGAGGTTATTCGACGCCTATTATCTTCCCCGTCCCGCTCAATCGCATCGCAACTTGTTTCCCCGTCATGGATGACGAAGACACAAAGACACATTAGCGTATGGCTGGAGAGGCTGGGCAACGAGGCCTGGTGCGATCACGAAAGGAGTTAGAAAGGTTCGATACTTCAGGGTCTGCTGTTCTGTGACTGTGATTATTCGAAATGTATGTAGTTGCTGTGCATCTTGTATACATAGTGCAAAAGGGACAGTTGGTGTCCACTGTCAAGGTGCGTAGGGAGCATTCGAGGATTGATGAACTGTGGTCGTGGTGTGAAGGCAACCGAGAAGTTCGTTACGGCAGCTTGCAAAGCCTGGCAGGCGTGATTTGCCTTGAAAGTTTGGTGTATATGTACCTCTGCATTACCAGTACAATCAGCCGACTTTAGCTCAGTTGGAAGAGCATCAGACTGTAATGGATAAACCACCGCGATCTGGGTGTCGCCTGTTCGAACCAGGCAAGTCGGATATAATTTTAAGCATTTTTTCCATCTTCTAAGGTTGTTCCCGCCATCGAGCTGTATTGCAGGTTTGTCGGTGTGGTTACTATACGGGCTCCTAAGGCGACAATGCTACCAAGTTGTGAGATTCCCAGCGTTCTCCTAGGTCTGGTTTCATTTCCGGAAATCTTCCGACTCCTCTAGGAGGACATTCCCACCTGATAACCGGAAATAGACACGGCTATCCTATATCGAACGGCTGCATGTCCATGCTAGCTGCTTTGACTGACAATGACACTGTCCATCTTTTTAAGCCTGAATCCACTACTTAATGTTGCATGTCAATTTCCGGAGTGAGGAGATAGAAGCGTACATCGACCTTCCACTCCGTTTCGGGAAACAAGTTCTACGGTTGCTGATTGAGAGAGAGCAGAAAAGCAAGAGCGACGTCTCGAACGTTTGCTGCATGTCCGGTCGACCGGAATAATAGCCATAGACCTGGATATTGGCATGCCTGACCTGTCGGAAGCATGGTGTGGGTCGAGGAGTACTGCCATCGGAACGCTGGGCCCCCGTTGGTCATACAGGGGATACAAGGGGATGCATCGGGCAGCCAACTTGTAGAGTGATTCGACTCCGAGACTGTGATATGCACCCTAAACCCTAGGGCGCTCGAGTTTCTCGCCGTTCTGATTAGGTTTCCATTGAGGCTCTCCACGTCCACGAGCGCGTGTGCTAGGATGAAATTCTCCCGAAATTGACAGCAAACACAACAAAAGGCTCGGACTGTTGAGATTCTATTTCCCCTGTAAGTACAATCGCATGCAACTAAAGAGCAGAGTGTTTGTGGCGCAACTAAGGTCCAAATCCGGCACAGGAGGCAGAGGTTGGGAAACTCACACACGTCGGCGTTCACCGTGTTCTCCCGCCGTCAAGTTGCGAGCCTCGTGGACGAGGATGACAGGGATAGAATGAGGGGTCGACGGTGACTCACACGCCAGAAAGATCCGGAAAATGGAACTTGACTGACTTGTTAACTTGTAAGACGTGTACGGGAGGAATACTGGAAGTCCCCCAATCTACGGCCATTGCCCACGGTTCTCTGAGTTTAACGAGCGACGTGCGACATCGGAAGTGGAGTCGGATGCACGATAAAGGCCATTTCCAGCTACAATCAACGAAAAGAAGCTCGGGGTGCAGAGCTGTTGGGACACGAGGGAGACAATTAGTGAACTATACTCCGAGATAAACCTGGTGTACTCACACGAAATAAACAACAAGTAACGACAAACTGGATCCACAGTACGATATACACGTCGCGGCCGCCCTTGCTAGGGGTGCAATGACTAAGAATGCATGTGTACAAAGTAAGTGTAATTTCTTTAGGCACTGTTCACAAGAGACCGAACTCTCAATCGATGTAGCCTATCGTTCAAGCCCAAAAAATACGGATAGGGAATAAAGGCAGTCGCGGAGGAGTGTTTGGACGGGTAAGAGGGGTCCCAGACGCAAAGCAGTGCGGTTAGTAGCTATTCTGGAAACGATGCTTTTGTTCCCCTCGCGTACCCAAGAGTTCGCTCGAGACACATGTCCACTGGTAATGATAGATATGTGAGTGTACTTGGTGATAGGATAACAGCCAAATCTTGACGAAGCTGTGAACGAACATCGGGGCCCGCTGGCCCGACAGTTCCGTATCGATATTCGAGAAAAAAAGGCAAGAAGGATTTAGGATAAAAAAGATTCGAGCCAGTGGTGCAAGAGTATGCTTCCCGTGATGGTCAACCACAGCCATCTTCACTCGAGACAGAGGTTGGCGTCATCAGCAAAGAAGAGAGGCTGCTTGATACAGACACAAGCTGATACGAGGCTTGCGGAGCCTAGGTTTGAGAACATAGGGTCAATCTTACGAGACGGTCCTAAAGAAAGGGTGATCACTCATTTGAGTTGATGACGGCCATTCGTGAGTGGCAAGGCAGCGCCGGAATACGAAGTGTATCATGAATGTAGCCGGCGTGACCCATGGTCGCTTTGGCTCAATTCATGTAGAACCATCATGATGTCTAAGGGCTCGGAAGCTAAGACGGGATGACGGAATGTGCGGTGGGAGAGGATAGCCACCTTCACTGTCCAGTGAAAGAGGGAGATACGGTGAAGGGTCCATCACCCGTGCTATCGGACACAGTACTCAACCTAGTACAGAGTTCAGTTTCTATACGAGGTCAGATTGAACTCTAAGCGTGAACAAAAGAAGTCGGACATGTACTCAGCATTCAAGATGTTGTCTCTCCGCGGCTCCTCTGTGTGCAGTACATAGCGTGAATGAAGGCCTAAGGAGAAGAAAGGTCTTATTTTAGAGTTGCGAATGGTGTTCTTTATTGTAACTGAATGAATGAATGAATAACCTGTAGCGCGATGGTCGTCCGATGTTGCGCATCGGACATCCTGATCCTCCTGGAGTCTGGACCCCGTTCCCGAGTCTTTGGAGTACAACGGCTCACGCCCACGCCCACGCCTTCCGAGAAATATTTAGGGTAGTAACGGCGCCACAACCGCACGACCTTTGGGTCGGGTATGCCACCGTATGCATCGTGGGTCTTCAGTGGAGGAGCTTAAGTCCGGCTCTGATTCGGTTTGGGCGAACCGATGTCCAATTGCTTTCCTGATTCGTCGTACATATCCTAAGGTCGTCAAGGCGGGCAACGTTGGAGTAAGAGGTCGAGACTAAGGTCTCTAGGTCTGGGTCGTCATGGTTGTGCCTCAAGAGCTGGACCCACGCACGGACCATGTAAACAAATTGATTTACGTGATCCGTTACTGTTAGGCACCTCTTCATGTGTGCATGTAGGCGCATCGTCGCACACCCCTTACTCACAAGATAATTCAAATGCACCACAGGCCGTAAGTCGCGCAGAGTTGAGCTGTATGAGCGGTGACGATAAGTTCAATAGCCTTGCAATGTCAGAGTCGGCTGATGTCGAGGCATAGAACCAAATTCCAATGTTACTCCGACGTATTCATACCTGATAGTATGATAGCCTTGTGTTCATAATTCTGAAAAGATAATATCAGAGTACATGCATATAGCTTGTAAAATTTCAGATCGAGTTTACGTTCCGCACAAAGAGGTACTATAAATGTCAGATGTGAATTGCCCAGACATAATCCCCGGGGTGAAACTAGCGTCCCGGGTATGTCCTACGATCACGACCCTGACGCAGTCCCTTCGAAGGCTATGGACTCTGTCTAGAGTCCCTGATGACAGTGTCGACGCCTGCCAACGACCATCAGGGTCCAATCCGCAAATCAGCCTCACATTCACTAATGGGCGAACATTGGAGCTGGAGCCGGGGTGAACCAATTTCGACAATCTCAATCTCGACTCTACAACGTCAATAACGAGACCAAGAAAGTCGCTGGTCAATACCATATAGTTCATTATGGAGATGGAGATGTCTGTAAGCTTCGAGGCCAATGGCATCGATCCCAGCTCACGGAACAAGTCGCCAAGAAGTTGCGAGAGGGAATCGTCAGATTCTTGCCATTGCCCGTAGGACCAGCCCGGTCTGCAAATCGCCGCTGAGACGAAATTAAATTCGAGGAGATTGGGTACCAGTTCCAGTAGACGCGAAAGTGGTCGTGTGTGAAGATCTGTCGAATAGAGGACGAACAATGATAAAGAAAGGGATTTCAAGCATGCTGAAGCCCGTTCAAGAAAGTTAAGGAAGTGTGGTGCCCACTCCTCGGCCTCTTTTACAACGTACATCGTCAATCGCAATGTCGTCAAAGCGGGAGCTTTGATTGAGAGGATCGTTTCGTAGAAGGGGGAAGTTAGACTTATTAGACTTATTGTACTCTGTGGCTCTGAAGGTGAGACAGAAAGCGTTCGAAGGTTTGGCAATTCCGTGAATTCGGAGTGAGAAAAATCGTGACCGCTAACACCGAGGCTAGGGTATTCCAAGTTCCACGAGTGCGATGGATTCCAGCTTCGTACAAGAGGGAAGTACTTGTCGTATCAGGCGCTCAACGCCATCGTGGTTGAGACGATAGCATTTGGGCGACGTTAACTGGCGATACGGCAAAGCGTGGACGGGATACACCAAGCGCACCAATGTGAGGCTCGTCAGTTTAGGTGCATCCTTTATCGCAGCCTCCCACGCTGCGCTGCGGTCCATCGAGCCGTCTTTCAGTGTTGTGAGGTTTGAGAGGGAGCCTCTGGGGATTTCGAGCGATCTCACATTGTTAAAGCAAGAGAGTGTTTCGCATCGGTAAAAGTGTGACGTTAGGCTGTCCCAGAGTGCCTGGTTGCCTTCTACGATGTTGGGATAGGTATGGCTTTCCCAGAGCTCGATATGGAGAGGATGTTGTTTGGAGTTGCGTAGATGTAATTCGAGAAGGCGCCGAGAGGAGGCTGGAGGCCTCGAGAAATTAATGCCGATCGAAGCCCAGAGGGCGGGCGCGTTTCACAAGATATCTCTCCACCGTGAACACACATGAGAGATCTTGATAGCGGGTGTCATCGGTACCCCTAAGGAGAGGTCAAGTGCGAGTGAATAACCCAACGTCGAGCATACCAGGGCGAAAATTTCCTCCCACAGCTCGACCGGAATTCTTCGGTTGACGGAAACAGCGGCGCGACGTTGCTTGATTCTCTCTTCTAGGCTCCTCTTTGTTTCTGTCAGATCGTTCAACAGCCCATGGAGGTTGGTGAGTCCCCTTTCGTACGCCACAATTGCTCGCTCTTCTTCTTCAATCAACATGTTCATTTTGTAGATCTCGTGGTCGGTAGGTATATAGTTCGAGTTCAGTAAATGACATTCGATCGGATGATGACTGAATTTGATGCTCGTTGTCTCGTGATGACATTGTGTTATGAGGTCCAGATATCGATCCATTTCTGGCGCAGGTTCCAACTAGAAAAAATGTAGCGATTGCGTTTGATTGACGAGCACAATCAATGATGGGGGAAACTATTTGAGGCCTGTATGTGTGAAAAGTAGTAATTAGAGATCTACAAGACATACTGAG